AGGGGGGATGGTCACGCCGAAATCCCTTCTCCTCCATTCTCCTCTTGGGATCTTGGGTACGCACACACACGCGCCCGGCGTGAGTTTTAAGCCACCGGGTCCGGGACACGAACCGCGGTCGACTACGTGGGAGTCCAGCGACATAGCCATTACGCTAACTGCTGGTTCCCATGACTGATGTGGTTTGAGTCCTGGGCCTGGCAGCTTGAAAATCACCTCAGATGCATGTGCATTCATGCCCAAAATCCCAGGAGGAAAATGGAGAAGGAATTGTGTCCTGGCCATCCCTCCAGGGGGTTATTTCTCACTTTCCCTTTCACTGTCTCTCTCTTACCTCTTCCTGGTGAGCACATACACCCTATAGTAAAAACCTTAAAAACAAAACAAACAAAGATTCTTCAGTCACACTTGCCGTATCTTAAATGCTCAGTAACTATATTATCGAGAATACTTCCATCATCACAGAAAGTTAAGTTGGGCAGCAATATCTTAGCACTGATATTTACTTTAGTTCTCATCAGTGCATTTCTTTGAAAGGTGAGAACATAAATCATGTGTTTTTAGACTGCAGGTATGGAAGGGACTGATCTGCTACAAACAGAAAAAATATACTAGAGACCAAGCTGTAAAGAAGATACATTTAACACGGGGTCACAGAACACAAAAAGGAAATGGCAGTGTGACCTTCTGAAATACTGGACAGTTCTTGCTAATGTTCTGAACTACGACAGACTTCCATCAGCTTACATACAGTCATATTACTGGCAATTTCTTTTGTACTTAAAACTATTTCTTTAAAAAAACTTTGTGTTTTTAACAGACATAAGCTCTAAGCTTAGATAATTATAAACAGGTTTTTACCCACATCAATGTCTAGCACAGATGCAGGGCTGCTCTGTCACTGAGAAGAGCTCTGAGCAGTACAGAAGCCCACACGTTCTGCTAAACGTCAGCCCAGTCTTTCAGACAACCCAAAACACCCCCTGAATATTTCCAATACATTTGAGAAACCTTGTGCTTTATGGTGTAGATGTTCACAACTGCTGATAAATTTGTTCATCTTCCTTTCAGAGTGTGTGTCTGTCCAGAGCTTTTGTCTCAAGTGTTTGTGACACACCCAGCCCTATTCCTTTGTTTTTAAGCTTTATGCCATAGAGCATGTGTGCTTGCTAGGGACAGAGAGGGAAAGTAAGAAATCTCCACCATGGGGGATGGCCATGATGCAGTCCCTTCTCCTCCATTCTCCTCTCAGGATTTTGGGTGCACATGCACACGTGCCTAGCATATTTTTCAAGCTGCAGGTCCAGGACTTAACTGCAGAGTTGGCCATGTGGGATCCACCTTAACCGCACCACCTGCTGGGCCTAGCTCCATTTAAAATTAAAAAAAAAAAGGGTTCCCCTAATCATAGTTTACAGATCCCTTATGAGCAATATTCCCCAAAATAAGTAAAAAAGTAAAAAGAAATAGGTCAATAAGTTTGAACAAAGGAAGAAGAGAAGGAACAATATCTATTAACCACTGTATCCAGGCACTGTGCCAAGCAAAGTTCAGCAAAGTTAAGTAAATATACCAGTCCACACAGCTGCTAAAGTCAAGAAAATAGAGATACTAGATAATTGATGACCTGGTGGCTTTTATCAACTAGTATCATGATAATCTATTGGTAGACAGTTGAGTACCTGCTCTGTTGACCCTGGAATGATCCAGAGATAAATACAACATAGTGCCTGTGTTTGGCGAGCATTCAGCCTGTTTAGAAATCAGAAATTTACACACATAACCAGTGCAAGTAAGGGCATTGCACTAACATTTGCACTCATTGTGCTGTGTGTGTTTTTTTTCTTTTTTTTTTGGAGAGTTTTTTTCTTATTGTGTATGTGCGCTCGCCAGAAAGACAGAGAGAGATGGAGAGATAGAAAGCAGGAAATCACCCTTCAGAGGGGATGGCCACACCGCAATCCCTTCTCCTCCATTCACGTCTCGGGATCTTGGGCACACATGCACACGCGCCCGGCGTGAGTTTAAGCCACCAGGTCCAGGACTTGAACCGCGGTTGACTACATGGGAGTCCAGCGACATAGCCATTACATTAACTGCTTGTCCCAGTGCTGTGTGTTTTTTAAAACATACTCTATTTGATCTTCACAGCAAATTTGCAAAGTGGTTAGGATCTTATAGATGGAAAAATTGTGGTTTGGGCAGAGCAAGCTACCCAGCTAGACAGTAGCTGGGCTCAGAATTGCATCCAAGTTGGTGGCTAACAAATCACTTTCCTCCATGGGAATTAATGACTCCTCACAAGAGAAATGGGGAAGAGCTTCATCTCATTGATACTTAAGAATCAATAGGATTGAATGCTGGCCACAGAATCAGAACTACAGAGGAATAGATGTATGTGGGAATGGACACAGCCATTTTTACTTAAGTGTGCGAAGCCTGGGAGCCACTGTGAGAAGTGAGCTCCAAGGTCATGTCATGCCTTGAGCTTTAGCTATAGGTGATGATACTTGAAGGACTAATTTCAAGAAGTATTTGTGTTCAAATATGAACAAAACTTAAGGCTAGATGGTGGTGCATTAGTAAAACACAGTGCTCCATGAGGCTGACCCACGTAGGAAGGTTCCAGGATAGAGTTTGAAGACCTCCCCGAGTACACCAGGCACAGTCATGCCTGTGATCTGAGGCTGGCTGGGGTTGAGGTGGACCATGGAGTCAGGATTCCATTGTCTCTCACACTATCTTGCTCATGGAAGAAATAAACTTCAAAACAAAACAAAACCTGACCCAGCTATGGTGGGGTGTGCTACTGAGACATGTACTCCACAAGCTGGAACCACGTGGGAGACCCAGGTTCCATTCCTGGTTCATTCTAAAGGCTGGGTGCAGTGACATGTGCTATGGTCTGAACTGGGAGACCGAGGCAGGAAGGTGCAATAGAGCAAGACCCTGTCTTTAAACAAAAATAGGACAGAACTTGATAGCTAATTGAATGGTGCTGGGAAGAGGAAAGAAGAAGAGTGACACAAATCAAATCTGATTGAATGAGTCACTAAGTCATGCTGTGAGGACGAATGGAAAAAATCCATTAAAACATGGTATAGCAGTCCAGCAGGTGGCATGGAGATTAAGGCGCTGGATCCCACATGGCCAGCTGCATGGTTAGTGTCCCAGACCTGGTGGCTTGAAGTTTATGCCAGTCGTGTGTGTGTGCCTGTCTGCCCAAATTCCCAAGATGGTAGAGGAGAAGGGATTGCAGCATGGCCATTCCCCTGGGGGATGATTTCTCACTTTCTCTCTCTCTCTCTCTCCCTCTCTCTCTTGCTCTCTCTGTCTGGTGAGCACAAATGCCCTATATCAAAACCTAAAAAACAAAACAAAGCAAAAAACCATGTTCTAGCTGCAAGTAACATACCAATAATGTTCAGCTTTACCTTGTCTTTGAACAAATCTCATAATCCCAATGATTAATTCATTTGGAACTTGTCCTGTAATTTATGTTTTTTAAGAATATAAATCTCTGCCTTAGTATCCTAGGATGTTGCCTTAAATTTTTAAACAAAGACAGAAAATATGATCTAGTTTGTCAGATATACACGTTACGTTTATGTAAATATTTATATAGAAACACTAGAAAATTGTGACTTCATTATCTTCCAGATTTTACAAAAGTTCTATTACAAAAGTTTCTTTACATAGTTAAAAAAAGAAAATAGCTTTTTTAAAAAGCTGAATAGTCTAAATGTTTACTTACTGGACTATTTAAAAATTTCTTTAGACTACCTGGTCAGACATTTAGTGGAGATTATTCATTATATTGTCCACCAAAATTATTTTTCAGTAACTTTTTTAATGAAATTTGTTTCTTCATTTTCTGTTTATGTAAAAGTATTTTAAAATTACCTTGGAGTGTTTGATATATATTTAGATCGTTGAAGATTTACAGTTTTCAGTCAGTCGCAATATTTTCAGTTTTGCTTTTCTATACTGTTGTTAACTTTTAAAATAATGATCAAGGAAGAAAAGCAAATGAATATTGGAGTTCATTTGGTATTATAAAATACTTGAGTATTTTATTGATCAGAGTGAATCACCATGTATGTTATGGCTGGCATTTCATTTTTTACCTAGTTTTTTTAATCAACAAGTAAAAATTGTATATATTCATTGTATACAGCCTATTTTGAAATATGCATACATTGTGAAATGATTAAATCAACCTAACATACGTCACTTAAAAATTTTTTGTAATGAAAACACTTAAAAACCCTTTTTAAAAACAATTTTCAATTATATAGCACATTCTTATCAACTGTCATCACCATGCTATACAGTAGATCTCTTGAAATTATTCCTGCCATCTAACTGAAATCTTGTATCCTTTGACCAACACCTCCCCAGCCCGGTGACTACCATTCTATGAGTTCAGCCTTTTTAGATTTGCCATGTAAGTGAGATCATGTGGTATTTGTCTTTTCACCTGGCTTATTTTCCTTGACATATTGTCCTCCCTCCAGGTTCATTCAAATGACATTACATCTTAGTAACAATACAGTTCATTATAAATAGTTAGTTTGCACTTAGACTTTTTTTCCATTTTGCTTTTGTAAATTACTTTACTTTAAAGCAGAAATTAACAAAAAAGAATCTACTTTAAAAGATTTTAAGAGAAAATAGTGTATCTGAAAAATCTTTTTCTCTTATTTTAAAAATAAATGACATATTAAAATAAATCCCAGTTTTAAGAACTGACTTTTTTAAGATTGCAGTATGGAATGTACTTTTATTGTGTTTATAAAAACTCTAAAGACAACTTTATGATGAAAATTCCAATATAACTAAGTTACTTTTATGTCAAATACAACTATTTCTTCAGATACCTATGTTAACTTCTTCATCTTGAGCCAACATAAATCATAATTTGAATTTGGTTTCATTCTAAGCTAGTTGTTCATGTTAATGATATGCAGAATTAATGGATTTTTTTTTTAACTGTCTAGGAAATACCAGAAAGGAACCAGAGTCCGGCTGCGGCTATTAGATCTCGAACTCACATCGAGGTTCCTAGGAGCAACAACAGACACAACCATACTAGAGGCTGATGCGGTTCTCTTAGGACTCCAGGAGGGTAAAGACTCCAAAGCAAAAGAGGAACATCATGAGAAGTGAAGGAACTTTGCTCAGTGCGTTTACTCTCTTTGTTGAACCCAGATATTCATGCAGTGAGAACATTGTGAATAAATGATTGAAGATGTAATAAATGAATGCTATAATTACAACTCTTATTTGTTAGAGTTTTCTTTAGCTGTATATTCCCTTCTCTTTTCTTTAATCTGTTTTTTTCCTTTGACTGTGAACCATATTGAGAAATTCTGTCATTCAATAAACGAGTGCTCTCTGTACATAGCACTGATCTAAACAGCACCAGACAAATTAGACAAAATCACTTGCCTCATGGCACTTAACTTCGCCTGGAGAAAGCAGACGGTAAATAAGTACAGCAGGTCCTCAGTTTGTGATCATTTAACTTACAGATTTTTACTTCATGGTGTACTCAAAAGGAGTACTCACCCTGTAGAAACTATTCTTTGAGTACCCAGACAGCCATTCTGTTTTCCACTTTCAGTATAATATTCAATAAAGTACATGAGATATTCAACACTTTATTATCAAATTTGCTTCATGTTGGGTGATTTTGCCCAACTGAAGGCTAATGTAAGTGTTTTGAGTATGTTCAAGGTAAACTAAACTAAGCTGTCATGGTCGGTAGGTGAGGTGTAGTAAGTGCATTTTTTATTTACTATGGGTTTATCACAATACAACCTTATCTTAAGCCAAAGAGCATATGCAAAATATATAGTGTATTAGGGCCAGCAGGTGGCATGGTTATTAAGGTGCTGAAGCGACCACATTAGAGTCCCAGACTCTGAAGCCTGCAACATCATCCCAGACTCTGCAGCTTGAAAAATCACTCATGTGTGTGTGTGTGTGTGTGTGTGCACGTGTGCGTGCACGCCCAAAATCCTGAGAGAAGAATGGAAAAGAAGGGATTATGGTATGACATCCCATGTGATGATGGAAGCTGAGATTATAATTATGCCCCCACTAAGATTGTTGGCAACTACTAGAAGCTAGGGCAGATGGATGGAACAGGTCCTCTCTCTCAGTCCCCATGAAGGGATCCACACAGTTGACCCCTTGAATTAAGACTCTTGGCTTCTTGAACTGAGAAAAGGAATTTTAATTGTTTTAACCCATCCAATCTGTGATAATATATTAGGGCAGCTCTGGAAAACTAACATCCAACACATGTAAGAGGGATGATGTCAACTTAGGGACCTGTTTCCCAACCTGGCTCAGAGGCCTTACACCTCCTGATGCTTTGACTATGAATTCCATTTGCAACTGTGTTATCTCCAGTTTCCTGTCCTCTATTATTTATTGATTTACTTCTTTATTTTGGTGCAGCTTTGGTGAAAATATCCACTGGACTCTAGCTGAAATTCAGCCTAGAGAAATCAGTTCCCAAACCCAGTCACCTAATTCAAGTCAGCCAGGTTGAACTAACCTAGAGAATCAGTTTCTGGATAACAATCTTCATTTACTTAATAATTATTAAAGTAAGGCAAGTATTTAAATTAAGTCAATACTCTTAAACATTTCATCATGTCAGCCAGATAGAATCTATCTAATGATGTTTCTGTGTCATCTCAGGTCCTCCAAGAAGCAGACACCAAGACAGGATTGAACGTGCAGTTCTGGTAAAAGTGCCTGTGAAGGATAAAGGAGAGAGAGAGCAGGAGTAGATGAAGGAGAGCCTGGAGCATGCCAGTCTGACACCTGTGAAGGAGGAAGGGATGGTTTCGTACAAAGAGTCCAGACTGGAGTGTAGCTCAGGAAATTCTTGGCCAGGTTAATGGTGATAGCCAGGGCAACGATTGCCCATCAGAAGTCCATATTAACCAGAAGTGTCCCATCCCTGCTTCTCCCAAGCTCAGTTACTGGAAATGTCCAGGAAGCCTCCCTCACCTCAGCTTGAACGCTGTTGAGGATTCCCAAGGTACAACAGCTGGAGGCTGCCTACAAAGTGAGCCAGTCTCTCTGAAAAGGAGAATGTCTGAACCGTGCATTCCTAGGGCTACCACAATTTCCAAATGTACAAGTGCTGGCATATAAAGGCGCATACGGTTCTGATTTGTTTCCTGGTTTTCTGAACAACAATACGAACTTACGAGTGATTTTTCACTCCCCCTAGGGTTATCTTGTCTTTGTAGAAGTTTGATTCTTTTAAACTATAGATGTGAGTCTCAGCCCTTTCCATTTTTATTTGGCTTAAGAGGTAATTCCTAAAATGGTCAACTCTTTAATGATCCATTATGGTAGAGAGGTATAGTGGTTTAGATTATCCTAATTATTTGTATTTAGCTTTAGAATATATATCATTTATTCTATGAAATAATAAAGCCAAATAGTTGTTTAAATTGTAAAACATACATAATAAAATCAAAGTTTATCCATGTTGTAGCATACATAAGGAATTCATTTCTTTTTAAGGCCGAATAATATTCTATTATATGTATATACAGTATTGTTTATCCATTCATCTATTTTTTTTTTAATTTTTTGTCATAGGGCATGTGCACTTGCCAGAAAGGAGGAAGAGAGAGATTCAGAGATAGGGGAAGTACTGAGAAATCACCCTTCAGAGGGGCTGACTATGTTGCAACCGCTTCTTCTCCCTTCTCCCATTAGGATTCTGGGCATGCACACACACGTACCCAGTGTAATTTTCAAGCTGCAGGTTCTGGAACTCAAATTGTGGTTAGCCCTGTGGGAGTCCAGCACCCTAACCATTATGCCACCTGTTGGCCCTTCCATTCATTTATTGATGGACATTGATTGGGTTGTTTCCATCTTCTGGCTATTATGTGTAATGCTGATATGAACACTGGTGTACTGGAATATATTTTTGATCCTACAGTTGAATGAATCTGTCTGGCCTAAGCAACAATGGCACACAAAAATATGATATCTCATAATAAATGATAGGTTAATTCTGGAATGCTGGTTAATTGTGTAGCATCCTCCTACTGCCCCCTGCCTTCTCTGCTCTTCTTTCATATACTTGGTGAAATATAGAACTACCTCAGTGCTTGCCGAACAGAACTGGCCTCTTTCTACATTTGTTGATTTACCCCTAACCATGTAGATATTCTATTTCCATGATGTTTCAAAAACTAGAAACAAGGGGACCTGCAGTTAGTGTAATGGCCATGTTGCTGGACTCCCACATAGTCAACCGCGGTTCGAGTCCCAGACCCGGTGGCTTAAACTCACACTGGGCGCGTGTGCGTGTGTGCCCAAGATCCCAAGAGGAGAATGGAGGAGAAAGGATTGTGGTGTGACCATCCCCCCGGGGGGTGATTTCTTGCTTTCTCTCTCTCTGTCTCTCTCTGTCTGTCTGGCGATCGCACACACCCTATAGCAAAAACCTCTCAAAAACCTCTCAAAAAAAAAATAATAAAAAAAAACTAGAAAAGACTATATAAACCATATAGGCCAGGATCTTAATATAGTAATATTGTAATACTCTCAACATGATCTCATGATGGTGAAATATATTTTTCTACCCCTTGACTTTGCATCTAGCCATGTGACTTGCTTTGTTCAATAGGATTTAAGTCGCTATGGTATGAACACTGGCTAAAGTACGCTTTCAAATTTGAAATTGCTTTCTTGCCCAGACCCTCAGACTAAAGAAAAATAAGCCCAGTGGACCCACAGTCTGAAGCAGAGTTGATACAGACCTGTAGACCAAAGTGTTTATTAGTGTAAGTGTTTATCTTTTACATTATAAGTGTTTATTTTGGCATTATAAGTGTTTATTTTTAAACAGTTGACATTTTTGTGGCTATTTGTTAAACAGCAATAGCTGACTGATACAAAAATTAATACCCATGAGTGGCATTGGTACTGGAATTGGATGGTGGGCAACAAATTGTTATAGGAAGTTAGAAAAATAGTCAACTGGGGTCAGCAAGTGGCATGGTAATTAAGGTGCTGGACTCCCATGTGGTCAACTGTGATTCAAGTCCTGGATCTGGTAACTTGCTTTCTCACATTCCCTCTTCTCTCTGTCTCACTGGTAAGTGCATGTGCCCTAACGCAGATTTAAAACCAGTGATAAATATGGGAACAGCAGGTGGCATAGTAGTTATGTCATTGAACTCCCACATGGCCGACCACGGTTTGAGTTGTGGAACTGGCAGCTTCAAACTCATGCTGAATGAGTGTGTGTGTGTGTGTGTGTGTGTGTGTGTGTGTGTGTGCCTAAAATCCTGAGAGAAGAATGGAGAAGGGATTGCACCATGGCCCTCTCCCCATTGTGTGTGGCATGGCCATTCCCCCCAGGGGGTTATTTCTTGCTTTCTGTCTCTCTGGCAAGTGTATGCACCCTACTGTGAAAATCTCTTTGGGAAAAAAAAAATGTAAATAAAATTAAATAATTCTAAAAAAGAAAAATGGAAAATTAGTTGCCTGTAGTAGCAAAACATTTGGTAAAACTGTCACTTGAAGTAATGAGGAAGACAAAAAATATATCTAGTTAACTAATTTGAGCAAGAAGTTTTGAGGCAGAATGTTGAAAATATAGGTTGCATTTAATAAGGAACTACAAAAAATAAAATCAGTAAAGTGTATGAAACCAATATTGTGGCTGTTAATGTGCAACTCAGGTAAACATGAAATATAAATAATGTCAGTCAGACATGACCTTGGAATAAAGATCAATTTTTAGAATATAGCCATAGCATCTGTTACTAAGACTTCTTGGGACCAGTAAATGGTGTAATGGTTACATTGTTGAACTCCCATATGTTTGACTGGTTGAGTCCTGGACCCAATAGCTTAAAACTCAGGCTGAGCATCATGTATGCATGTGTGTTCAAAACCCAAGAGGAGACTGGAAGAGAAGGAATTGCAGTGTGACCATCCCCCTGGGGGTTTGCTTTCTCACTTTCTGTCTCTCCAGCAAGCTCACACACCCTATTAGTAAAAACAAAAAAAAAAAAAAAAAAAAGACTTTTGAAATAATGAAGGTGTTTCTACAGACAGACCAAAGAACACTCAGAAATCTTACAGGCAGAAACCTACGGAAGCCTGAATGTGCCCAAAGCAGACATAATTAAGTCTAGAGAGAGAAAAGCTTAACTCAAAAAGAAGTGCAGGTGTGTCTTGTTATATAAAGTTGACTGGAATCAAACAAAGAGAAAGCCACAAT